CAGACCTGTTTAACGGCTGTGGCTAAAGTAACAGAGGTGTTACTCTAATTATTTTCTTGTAAGTAACGTCAATATAGCAATATGTAGATAGGTACTTTCTTTAGCAATTTAAAGTGAAGGTGATATTCAACAACATAACAATAATATTTTTTTTTTTATAAACCAAAAATTTGAATCAACATATTGATAATATAAATCTTTTGTGAGAGAAACGGCGTCTCCATATTCATATTCCTCACATGCCCTTACCCAATAGTTATTTGTAAACCAAAGGGAGGGGAGTGTACGTATAGTTCTCTCATGCAGGTGAAATTTGATTAATTACCAAAGGGAGAAACGGAACTTCACTACTCCAAGGGAATATACCTACTTAAGTATATGGTTTTTCATACAAGATAATAGTAATTAATAATCTATACCTAATACCTGCATTACACATGAGGAGATATACAATCGTTTTAAATTTTTTTATTAGTGTGCAAAGTGAAAATCAGTTTTCCATTTTTAATCATTAGTGGTATAAAATAATGTTCAATTTCAAGGAATTTTTTTTCAGCAAATGAAGGTAGGTAATTTATTCATTTGGAGCTAAAACTATGATCCATAACGAAAAAACTTCTGCCCAGGAAGGAAAATAATTTACTTTCCTCCCTAGGGAGGGGAAATTACTATTTTCCTCCCTGAAATGAAAGTAAAAAATTGTCACTTCTTGACAGGGTCATAGGAAAATGTGTCTTTCCTGCCTTGCCTATAGTGCCTGTTTTATAAGTATAGGGCAATCCAAACAAAATGGCGATCAATGCCAAAAAATTGGCGCCATAAATTTAATCCAAACAACCGTGACATTTGTCATCAAAAAACTGATTTTGTGTATTTTATGATGTTTTAAGATGATTTTCTAGTGCTTAGAAGGATTTAGATGGAAAGTTTTTAGTTTAAGAAATTATTAGTGGAAAACCCGGATGTTTGCAAAAGTTATGATTTCTTTGTGACAAACCTTTACCTTCTAAACAATTAGGTCGGTATTATCCAGGATGTGTTTCCTGTTTAGTTTTTTCTTAACCAAATCCTGAATCCTGATGTTTATTTTATTTGTCTGCTATTCAAGGTATCGACACAAGTTGAGTTGATGTGAAGGATAGTAATTAAATGGCTTGGATCCATACACCATTTATGTAGAGAGACTTTTTGGTTTTTAAATATAGATTTCGTCAGATTTTTTCTCTTTTGCTACCATCCATGAAGCCCTTACAAAGTACAGACAAATCGTTTATCTCCGCTGAAAACCTGTGTTTTGTCTCTGCAGGAACGACATGAAACAAGACTTTCTCGCGATCAAAACGGCTTCCACAACTAAGTACAATACATAAAGTATGCATTTTCCAAAAAATCAACACTTTACAGACTTTATACAAATCAAAAATGGCAATAAAACGGCATTTTTTCCAAATAAAAAGGCATTGACCTCCATTTTGAATTTCTTTTTAACAGGTCGTTGGATTGCCCTATTCTATTCTATCCTTTAAAGTCAGGTTATTTTTATTTATTTCCATTTTTACTTTTAAACAAATGCCAAGAACCAAGAATATCACCCTTACTTTAAATTGCTAAAGAAAATACCTATCTATACAAGGTGAGTTACTAAGCGTGCGTTCATCCATATCTCCTATAGTAACGGCACAGCCTCCTACAATTAACAAGCCATGAAGTTAAAAAGGCAACATCGCAATCTTACCGCCAAGTGGTGCTGGTGCTGTTTGTTTTTATAAGTATATATTTTTTATTTTGTTAATATGAAACACAAAAAATGCATCATTTATTGTACTAAAGGGCCAAAAACAGTAATTCAATGAATAATATAACTATTTGTGTAAATAAAAACAGTAAATAATTGATTTAAATGAATATATCTCTAGATTCGAAAGTGTTATAAGACTATGTTTCAGTATGTCTTTTGAAAATCTAACTTTTTCTTTCTTCAGGATTTTTTCGGGAGGCAGGTCCATTCAAATACTTGAGCTGATTTTCGGAAATTACAGGCACTTTTAAGAGTTGGACATTTTAGTTTGAACTCTCGAATTACTCCTTTATCCATGTTTGTTTCAAATCTAATTATTTAGGTTTCTTCAAAATGTTTACAACACACCACAGAATTTTTCGTTATTATTGTATAATCTCGGGTATAATTATCTTGGTGTATTGCTTTCATCCACATTTTTTGCAATTCAGAATTTTTTTGGAAATGAAAATGTTTGCATTTCTTCAGTTTTTAAGGAACTCCTATAGTTCGATTTGCACCCAGGAACACAGTAGTTTCATGGCATCTGGAACAAGTTTAAATATCTTAGGTAATATTTCGAGACCTAAGCTCTTGCACACAAATATTTATATTGTTTTACCTTACCTTACCCTCATTTTTGCTCCTGTACCCATTTGCTAAAAATTTGCAATTAAAGCATGAAGGAACAGGTATGAACTAAATATGGGCAGTATATGGGTGTGTTTCTATCCACTTTTTCGTTAATAATGCCCACAAAAATACTAAACTGCAACAATACACAATGAATGCGATACACAGAAACACATAACCTCAGTAACAAAATAGCACCATACGCGACGTTGCCGACATTTCCAACTTCATGGCTTGTTAAGTGTAGGAGGCTGTGGTAACAGAGATCGAAGAAAATAATAAATACAAAACTTGTAGATAAACATAAATACTACATTCCTAAATTATTTTCTAGTATACAGGGTGGCCCAATAAGTAGTGGTGATTAAAAGTTATGTTTTTTTAAAAGACTCCTCCTGCATATTATGACATTTCTGGATTCTGTGGAAAATTCTAGACATATTTCATGTATAATGTCATATACCTATCTTCAACTGTTTCAGGAATATTGACAGTTTAAAATTGGCTTTTTTTAAACCTATACGGTTAATTTTAAAGGAAAACCGAGTTTACATTCCTGTCTTAGATTTTCATAAGCTATCATTTGACACCAACTTTGAATTCAACCGAAGATTAATAATTTAAGCGGGATTTTTAATCAAGGATTAAATTCAAGGTTGGTGTCAAATAATAGTTTATGAAAAACTAAGACAGAAATATATGATCGGTTTTGCTGTAAAATTAACCGTTCAGGTTTTACAGTCTGTCAAAGATGCAACAAAGTTAATTTTCAACTGTTAATATTTCCGAAACAGTTGAAGATAGGTATATGATATTGTACATGAAATATGTCTAGAATTTTCGGCAGAAACCAGAAATGTCATAATATACAGGGAGAGTCATTTAAAAAAACATAACTTTGTGTCACTACTAGTCATTGGGCCACCCTGTGTACTGGAAAATAATTTAGGAATGTAGTACTCATGTTTATCTACAAGTTTTGTATTTAGTTTTTTATTCTATCTCCATTAGTATAGGAAATATTGACGACCGCGCGCTTAGTAACTCACCCTGTATATTGCTATATTGACGTTACTTCAAGAATATAATTAGAGTAACACCTCTGTTACTATAACCCCTATTAAAAGTAACGTTGTCAACAGTGACGTCATTGAACTGATGTTACTTTAAAAAAATAATTATAGTTACACCTCTGTTACTTTTAGCCACGGCCTACCAGGAGACCTGTTTAACAATGAGGTGCTTATCACTTCCTGAATAGAGCTCAACAGGACCAATTAACTAGTAAAAGACATGGTTCAATGTCAAAATTATTTACTGAAATTTGAGCATGCTTCACTGTCAATGACAATCAGATCAGCGACAGTCCCTGGCAGTCGACTGCCAGAATTGCGTGTACAAATTAACTTTGGAGTCCTGTTATTATTAAGAAATGTCATGCTTAACTCAGCAAGCTACTGAGTTGAGATTTCGTGATATTATTTTGCCTGCATTTAAGAGCTTCAATGTTGGATATAATAATTAAACCATTATAAACGAGAATTGGACAGCTGGGCAGTGTTACCAGATTGGGGGATTTTCCCCCAAATTTGGGGGATTTTCAAGTCGATGGGGGAAAATCTGGGGGATAGTTTTTTCTGGGGGATTTTTTGGGGGTAAGAATTTTCGCTATTGGGGGAAATTGGGTATATTTCAATGAATAAAACTAAAGTAAAAAATGTATTAAAACAACTGCACCATCTATTTTTTCAATCAAGTTCCAATAAAAATGATACAGTTTGCTTCTTCTCGAGAGGAACGCAAACGCTCAGTTCTAGATCTATTTTAATTTGTAATGACAAATGACAGTTGACTTGACAAATCGGATCGGGGGAATCCCCAACGACCGACGTTGCTTGCATTGTTTATTTTTTATTTTGCGTTTTGCATTTCTTTGCGGTTATAGTGCGTAGTGCTCTAAGTTGCTGTATTCTAAATTTTAATACAGCTTAATAATATAATAATAAACTATCCAAACTTCTTGGTACAACTGTACTTATCTGTTCTGTCACCAGTCACAACATTTTATTTCATTTGTCATTTGTCAATTGTCATTTTATTTTTGGGATTAGAAAAATATAAACAAATAAAAAAGTGGTAAGGGTATGAGTTTTATTTTAAAATATTTAACGAATTTGTCTTTTTTTTTTGCAAGTATGAGTCGAGAATAAATCTATATTTATTTATTTGGGGGATTTTAGTTGACAAACAGTGATTTTTGGGGTATTTTTGAAATCCTTTGGGGGAAATTAGTTATAACCATCTGGCAACCCTGCAGCTGGGCACCAGACACCTGCTCATGTAAAAAGTAGGTATTTATATTATATTTTTGTTTATGTAAAATATCAATAACCTCCTACCAGAATTAAATATAGAAATTCTCAATATTCTAGTCGACAAGCATATTTCTATATTTAGGTATCATCATTAAACATTATTATGATTCCAATTTTAAGGTTTGCTTCACATACAATATAATAGGATTAAAAAACAGCTGTAAAACATAATTAATAAAAGGATATTTATGTATAGGAGATGATTATATTCCTACCTTAGTAAAATGGTGATTTCATTGAATGGCATAACCTTAGTTAAGTTCCAATGTTCCAAACTATAAATAACAATCTTTCAAGCACTGCAAACATTATTGGCCGGTAAATAATTGACTTTGAGGAAGGAATCTTTCAGTCCATCAGTTAAAAACTAGAGACGAATAAATGATCAAGACTGCTCCATTAGTTTTTAGCCATCTAAGTATTGAATGGCAATGGAAAATTGAATCAATAGCTCTATTTATTTTAATGATAAATAACAAACAAATACTTCTTTTATTTTGACTGCCTCTAGGGCCTCTCACTTGCACTAACGGTAATCGCCAATCAGTGTCGGGTGATGACGGAAATCACAATCAACGCAATCGCACTAGTTTTAGAAAATGGATTTGTTCGCGATGAGAATTCAGAACGATTCGGAACTATTCGCATGTGCGGTTCCAACTAGGTCGTTCGCGGGTAGGGATGGCCTTTCGCCGCTCTCGGAGCAGTATCTGTTCATTTCCGGACAGGCTTTTACTCGGAGCAGGTAAGCAGGTACATCTAGAAAATATATCAAGTTGTTCCCTCGGAACAATTTTTTTTCAAATCTCTAAACTCAACAATCCTCATCAGGTTGGATTTATAAGCGGGAACAGAAAAAAAATAATAAAAATTGGAATACTACCTACTTAACTAAATGTGATATATACATTTGATAAATTTCGTTAGAGTAGGAAATAGACAGTTCTCGTGCCGTCCAAATTTCAAATAACGTAACGCTATTTGACAAGAATGACAGTTCCTACGGTATTAGCGTTAGCGGAGCCTGCTACGTAACGGAACTTACCGGATGCCTTACCGTGACGCTATATGTCAAAACCACTTATCTCAAAAATAAATGGATAAACAAAGAACGCTTCTAATGCTGCTAGTTTACGAGATCATAATGTAAACAAAAACAACTGACTGGGACAGCTGTGAGCGTGCGCAGTAGATACATGTACTGTGCGTGCACAAAATCTGGCCAATGAAAACGAAGGAATTTCAAAATTTAGGACAGTTGTTCGAAAGATAAGACACTGCGCAGGCGTTAGGCTGTTCTGTTGCACAATTGTTCGTAGAATATTGACCCCAAATTTTCGCACAAATTTTGCCAATCAAGCCGTGTATGATTGTTTATCCATTTATTTTTTAGATCAGTGGTCAAAACTATTTTACGTTTCATTTATGTCTTCAAAAACAGCAACTTCTATTAATTCCTCCATAAAAAACACCAAGGAAAAATTAATCAAGCTCAGGAATCTTCAGGGGCGCGTTCAGATTGAAGAGTCTGGGCGACGTCCAGTGCAGAGCGTACCCGATAGAGAGTGCACTCCGAGTGTGCCTGGCGATTCGCCCAATCTGAACGGCCAAGACGCATTCTCTCCTCATAACATCACTATTTATGGGATGCTTTGATTTTGATTTTGTTGCCTTTTCAAAATTCACTGTGTGTTCGTGATTCTAACATTTTTGTAAAATAAGAAAAAAGAAAATTCAAAGATAATCAACTCTTATTTTATTTTATTTTGATTTTTTTTGGTAGAACTATCACATATAAAATAATACCTCTTAAGCCTTAATTCTTATTTTAATTTATTTCCTATTTTATTTTATTTGTTGGATAAACTCGCCATAACTCCCAACAATAATATTTACAATATTTGCCTTTATTATTGGTTAGAACATAAACATAACACAAATGCGCATGCGGGGCAAATTTTATCTTACTATTTTATGGGATGCAAAAGTGTGCGTCTGGGTGTCGTCAGGTAAAAATCTACTGACAATCTGAACGGCTGGGTAAATTTTACCCAAGGCAATCTGAACGGTCAGAGCGCGCTCGGGCGACAACCGACGTTCAATCTGAACGCAGCCCAGAATAAACAAAAGCTATGAAAAAAGTTATAGGCAGTTTGAATCAGCTGATAATTCAAGATGGCGATGCGGCATAAATGTAAACAAACCATTGAGGTTAGACATGCCTCCATACACAGCCTCCTATAGTTAACAAGCCATGAAATTGGAAATGACGGCAACGTCGCGTATGGTGCTATTTTGTTATTGCGTTATGTGTTTCTGTGTATTGCTTTCATTGTGTATTGTTGCAATTTAGTATTTTTATGGGCATTATTGACGAAAAAGTGGATAGAAACACACCAATATATTGCCCATATTTAGTTGATACCTGTTCCTTTGTGCTTTGATTGCAAATTTTTAGCAAATGGGTACAGGAGCAAAAATGAAGGTAAGGTAAGGTAAAACAATAAAAACAATATTAATATTTGTCTGCAAGAGCATAGGTCTCGATATATTACCTAAGATATTTAAACTTGTTCCAGATGCCATGAAACTACTGTGTTCCTGGGTGCAAATCGAACTATTAAGAGTTCCTTAAAAACTGAAGAAATGCAAACATTTTTATTTCCAAAAAAATTCTGAAGTGCAAAAAATGTGGATGAAAGCAATACACCAAGATAATTATACCCGAGATTATACAATAACGAAAAATTCTGTGGTGTGTTGTAAACATTTTGAAGAAACCGAAATAATTAGATTTGAAACAAACAAGGATAAAGGCGTAGTTCGAGAGTTCAAACTAAAACGCCCAACTCTTAAAAGTAGGTACCTCTTATTTTCGAAAATCAGCTCAAGTATTTGAATGGACTTGCCTTCCGAAAAAATCCCGAAGAAAGAAAAAGTTAGATTTTCAAAAGACATACTGAAACATAGGCCTATAACACTTTAGACTCTAGAAATATATTCATTTAAATCAATTATTTACTGTTCTTATTTACACAAATAGTTAAATTATTCATTGAATTACTGTTTTTGGCCCTTTAGTACAATAAATTATGTATTTTTTGTGATTCATATTAATAAAATAAAAAATATATATTTATACAAACAAACACCACCAGCACCACTTGGCGGTAAGATTGCGGTGTTGCCTTTTTAACTTCATGGCTTGTTAAATGTAGGGGGCTGTGCTCCATATAAACACATAAATAAATGTGTGTTATTTCACTTATTTCTACCTGTTTCAAATTTTAATTTATTTCAATTTCCTTTAATGTTCGTAGATACTTGGAATATTTATCTATTAATAAGATACCTGGGCACCAGGTATGTACAAAACGAACCCCAACAAGCTGTGCCCCCCCAAGTAGGTAGAAAGGCCTAAAATATAAGTTACATCAAGGTGATTTTCTTCATCTCCGATCAGTTGTTCGTGTGCTCCAGAACTGTAAGCAGTCTGAAATATATAGTTCATAAATATTTTTTGATTTTTGATAAAATGCTTATCTGCAAAAGTTATTGCTGGAATCTCCTGGTGTTGGGAAGAGGTAAAAGTGTGCAGTTCTCTTGTATTAAAAGATAGTGGGCATATATGAAACATGCTTTGCCAATCTTGACATTTTTGACAAATATAAATTGTGCCAGAGTCCAGAGGCAAATGAATGTGAAAAACATAAATTACATGAACCAAAAATAAACATTTCTATCAAAAAACGTTCTCCTTCTCAAACTGCTAAAAACACTTTTAGTCTAGGAGGCAGTGACGATTTTCGGTACTTATTTTCTCAGTCACGAAACATGGATAGAATTGTAGGGTTAGTAATTCTAAGCAAAATTCATATATTTTTAGGGGGGGTTCTCCGATGGGTGGAGGCGCAAAATGCGTTAGAGCTTACGAATGCACGGCCCTTTTTTTTCCAGTGATAAAAATAAGTCTACTAATCAGAAATATACTGAAATTACGTAAAAAAATAGTCCGGCTAATCTGTGAGTATGGATAATATGTCTGGCAAGTGAAAAATTGAAGATCCGAAAAACTTCAGCCAGACTAACTTTCCACTATCTGAGATAAGCCAAATTGCTATGTTCATATACTTTATGTTCTATTGTAGTGAATGTGAAATATTTATGACTAGGAAAATAAGTGTACTTGTATTTTTCATTGATCTAGTGAACTCATCCGAAAATTTTTGTGAAACTCAAATATTCTTGTTTTGTATCACCAAAAGAACAAACTATTTCATATACACCAACTGGGAAAATAAGTGCTAAAAAATTTCACTGCCTCCTGGACTATTTAAAAATTCACAGAAAAATGAAAATAAACAGGGTTAAGGTGAGGTTAAGCTGTGTAAACAGTATGGACGTCAAGGTTAAGTTTGTTATGCTGCAATGCCATCTTGAACGTCAAACATCAAACTGCCCTTTCTTAGCGGGACCGTATTAGCGTAGCGTCTGACGCAAGAGAACTTTCTATTGTAATAAAATATAGCCATTCATCCATTTAAAATACCAAAGTTCTGTCGCATACCCCATTCACGGAGCAGCCTGTATATACAAAAATATTTTTAACTAATGCTCCTTACAGTACCAAACAACTTTGTAATTTAATTTGTCTTTCTTGCATCACCCTGTAAGGAGATATCGTCCGATATCGCAGTAAGTGACAGGTGTTATACCACCTTGACCCTTTTGGCAGTGTATATTTTTATTGCTGCGTCATGCTTCCTGACCATTTTGGCCGTCTGCTACGTACTTAATTATAATACGATAGGATCTATTTATGTGATATTATAACTTTAATATTTATTTCATAATGCTATTTCCCACATTATAGGTCTTAATTTACACTGGTCGCGACTTGTGCATTTCACTGTTGTGTTTTCTCCACTTTAATATCGGAACAGGGAATCTTAGGTACCTATATAAAAATACCAATGTTTATATTAGGTCTGTTTCTGCAGAAATCACAAATTAGTCAGAGTGAATTTCATTGGTTGAAAATATTGTTCTGACTGTTTCTGACTGTTTTCAGCCAATGAAATTCGCTCTGACTGGTTTGTGATTTCTGCAGAAACAGACCTAGTATGTCTGTCGTCTCTACTGAAATCGTGGGTTGCTCTAGAAAATTGTTCCTTTCACAGAAAGATAGCTAACATATGCTATTCCGAAATATGTCGTCTCTGGATTTTTCACTTGATGAGAAAAAATTGCAAAACAAATTATTTTTGTGTACTATTCTTGGCGAATGCGAAGCAAAGGCAATGGAGCAATGACTAGCGCAATGCCGCAATGAACTATAAACTATACGTAAACCTAGCAATAAACTAGAGAGAGAAAGGTAGCCGTCACTATATAGCTATCTTTGGACACTTTAAGAGAGTGACATATGCCATATGCCATCATGATCAAAAATTGCGGTAAAAATTTAATCTCCGGTTAAATTTAAAGTTGGTGTCAAATGATAGTTTATGAAAATCTAATAGTGTAGGTGCCCAGCGACATAAAGTTGCATTTATGAATACTGCCTTGGAATGTT